TACATTTTTGGAGAGTTCAGGACATACTTATCGAAAACTAGGATTGAATCCCAACTGACTGCACCCGGCACGCCCCAGCAGAATGGGGTTGCAGAGCGAAGAAATAGGACTCTTATGGAGATGGTTAGGTCTATGATGAGTTATTCGAGGTTACCAGATTCGTTCTGGGGTTTTGCATTGGAAACAACATCGTATATTCTGAACATGGTTCCATCGAAGTCAGTTGACACTACCCCTTATGAGATGTGGAAAGGGCGCAAGCCCAGTTTCTCACAGTTTCGAGTTTGGGGTAGTCCTGCACACGTGTTAGTGCAGGAACCTGGCAAGTTGGAGAAACGTTCGGAAGCATGAGTTTTCGTAGGCTATCCCAAGGGAACGAAAGATGGATTATTTTATAGTCCCGAGGATCAGAAGGTGATCGTTTCGACGAACGCTAGATTCTTGGAAGAAGACTATATTATGAATCGTAAGCCCGCGAGTAGACTAGTCTTAGAGGAGTTAAGGGGTGAAATCGATGGTTCCCCACCGAGTGCGCAAGTAGATACATCACATAATACTGCAACACTGCAAACTGAGAGTGTACCAGTGCAGACAGTGCTTCGTCGCAGTGGGAGGGTTTCTCATTTACCCGACCGATGGATAGGTCTTGGAGAGTTATCGGACTCAGTTCCAGGAGGCCTAGAATCGGACCCAAGAACTTACGATGAGGCACTCCATGATAAAGATGCAGATTCATGGAATGTTGCAATGAAAGCTGAAATGGGGTCAATGGACTCTAATCAGGTCTGGGATCTTGTAGAACCACCCGATGGGGTACGACCCATTGGATGTAAGTGGATCTATAAGAGAAAGAGAGGATTGGATGGGAAGGTGCAAACCTTTAAAGCTAGGCTTGTTGCGAAAGGTTATACCCAGATCGAGGGTATTGATTATGATGAGACCTTTTCGCCAGTAGCTATGCTTAAGTCCATTCGGATTCTCTTGGCTGTAGCCGCTCATATGGACTATGAGGTCTGGCAGATGGATGTCAAGACAGCTTTCCTTAATGGGAACCTGCAGGAAGACATCTATATGCAGCAACCAGAGGGATTCATTGCTGAAGGTCGTGAGCATCTAGTGTGTAAGCTTAATCGGTCTATTTATGGACTGAAGCAAGCTTCGAGATCTTGGAACATCCGTTTTGATGAGGTGATCCAATCGTACGGGTTCACTCAATGTCCGGATGAACACTGTGTTTACAAGAAAATCAGTGGGAGCGTGGTGGTGTTTCTTGTGCTTTACGTAGATGACATACTGCTTATTGGAAACAATAAGAAGGAGTTATCAGACGTAAAGGTGTGGTTGTCTAAGCAGTTTGATTTGAAGGACTTAGGTGAAGCAGGACACATTCTTGGTATTAGGCTCATTAGAGACCGTAAGAAGAGAATGTTGTGCTTATTCCAGTCTTCATACATAGATACTGTCTTGGCCAGATTTAGCATGCAGGATTCCAAGAAAGGTATGTTACCTTTCAGACATGGAATACCTCTATCTAAGGAGATGTCTCCTAAGACGTCTAAGGAGATAGAGGAGATGAAGACAGTTCCTTATGCTTCGGCAGTAGGAAGTCTCATGTATGCAATGCTATGCACAAGGCCGGATATTAGCTACGCCGTTGGCATGGTAGCTAGATATCAAAGTAATCCAGGACGGGAACATTGGTCTGCGGTGAAGCATATACTCAAGTACCTGAGAAGGACTAAGGAGTACATGTTAGTTTACCGTGCAGGCAGCTTGTTACCTCTGGGTTACAGTGATTCCGATTTCCAGTCAGATAAGGATAAAAGTAAGTCAACCTCAGGTTATGTGTTTACCTTGGGAAGTGGAGCCATTTCATGGAGGAGTGCTAAGCAGAAATGCGTGGCAGACTCCACCATGGAAGCCGAGTACATAGCAGCCTCAGAGGCAGCGAAAGAGGCAGTATGGCTCAGGAACTTCTTAGTGGACTTAGAGGTTATACCGAGTTTGCCACGTGGTATCACCGTGTACTGTGATATCAGTGGAGCAGTAGCGAACTCAAAAGAACCTCGAGCCCACAGGGCAAGAAAACACATAGAGCGCAAATACCATCAGATTCGGGATATCGTTGGTAGAGGAGACGTTGATGTTGCCAAGATTGCATCAGAGGATGCATGGCAATAGGATCGACATAGGTCTTTTAGAATAACGGATTGATAGGACTATACTGTAAAAGCGAAAGCTTTAAGTATAAGTGGGAGATTGTTAGTGTTATATACTGAAAGCTTGGCTTTGCATGATATTACACATTTACCCTTTAGGAATGAGAATCATGTTAGATTAAACAAGTTCTACGTTCTGTTGTTCTGCACTTAGATAGGGTGGGTCGTCATCGGGCGAACCGAAGATCACTCTGTCAGTTACTTGCGAACAAGAATAGTTGTTCACAACCTAGATGGACATGAACGCCCCATCCGAATGGTTGTAGTGTCAACTGTACAGTTTATCTTGACTGATTAGTTGCGCTAGTACATTTATGTATTGAACAGGATCCCAGAGAGGAGAAGTTCATTTTATACTGATCGTCGTAAATGAACTAGGCCTCGGTTAATTACTGCGTTCACTTAACCCGTAAGATATTAAACAGGCAGATATATATAATATATATTACTTTGATTCACATGGGTGAGGTTCAGTTCGCTGGATTAATATTCCTACTGTTTTGGGTAATATTATTATATATAGGATGTGCTGTTAGGATATTTACGGTCACCATGTGCGTTAGTTTGATGATGTCCCCGGAGTGAGTTCATGAAGGATTGTTATGCTAAACCCTGCAGGTGGATTATATTCCGGCATAATAAGAATGTGATGAACGAGCGCTAGCTTCGGTAAAATAATAATAAATTAATTAATTCTTGATTGTCAGTAATCGAATTAATTAATGGACATTATATCTTAAACGTGGGGAGGTAAATCGAGTAATTATTATTGGAGTCTCAAATGTAATTTGGGCTAGGGAAAGGGAGTGCAATAATATAATGTTGGTGGCCCATTAATATTATTTAATTAATTAGAGGAGTGGGTTTGGCCCACAGTTAGTCTAATTAATTAAGGAGCCCTTTTCCTAATCTCCTTAGGGTCCCTACTGTAACTCTATATATACATCATTAAGCTCATGAGAAGAGAATAGAAAATCTCATATTGACGAGATATACACGCCCCACGCCTCTCTCTCTAGATCTCATTCGAGCTTTATCTTCTTCTTGTTGCTCCACTGGTACAAGTTGAAGAAGGGTGTATTGAGTAATACAGTAGAAGATCTGTAGGTAAACCGAGACGAAATAGATTTTGACCTACAGAACTAACCGGAAGTCCGATTGAGACGTACAGTTTACCCAGACGACCGTCTCGACGAGGGCTTTCCATCGCCGCCGACGTCGCCGGAATCCGACGCCACACGCGCCCTCACACGCCGCCGGAAGGTGCCTGGCAGCAAAATCTCGTTTTGATCTGTTTGCATCCGTTTGATCCGGTTTTGATCTGATCTTGTTTGTGCAACCCAAGACGCGTGTTGCGGTCAATCAACTGCGGTCAACCGTTCGTGGTCAACCAGATCTACATAAATTTTAAGCCGTAAGTTCTCTACGTCAAACCTTTAGATCCGCTGCGCATAGGTTTACGTTTGCTATTGAATTTCTTGATTTGTACATAACGAGATCCTCACAGATCCCAACACATATCACATTTGAAGAAATATTATGCGTAGCTGAAGACATGTTACTTTTTAATTACTTTCAGTCGTTATTTGGTTATGTTTTAGCAAGACAAGTAATAAAGTTGCATTTGAAGTTTTTTCAGCTTAACTCTTTTTTTGGTATGGTATGCGTTAAGGCACCAGCTTGTGAGGTCTAGCCTAAGCTCGCAGAGCTGGGCGACGACCTTTGTAGGGCAAAAGCTTGGTAGTCTTGCCTAAGCTCGTGGAGCTAGGCGACAATCTCTGTAGGGCGAAAGCCTGGTAGTCTCGCCTAAGCTCGCAGAGCTGGGCGACGATCTCTGTAGGGCGAAAGCCTGGTAGTCTCGCCTAAGCTCACGGAGCTAGGCGACGATTTTTGTAGGGCGAAAGCCTGGTAGTCTCGCCTAAGCTCGCGAAGCTGGGCGACGACCTCTGTAGGGCGAAAGCCTGGTAGTCTCGCCTAAGCTCGCGGAGCTGGGCGACAACCTGTGGGCATTCAAGTGTTGAAATGATTAGCAATAATTGTGCTAGGTGCAAAAGCCCATTGCCACAATGCTAAGTGTTTACGAGACATGGTGAGAGAAGCTTGTTACGATGGAGGACATATGGTTACTTGAACAGTAGTCAGTTATATAAGTACGAGTAATTGAAGCGTGAAAATAAAACATGGTTCTTACAAGCGATAGATGAAATAAAGTCACAAAACACTGCACGAGTTCACGGCTACATTCCAAAATAACGAAAGCGATAAACAAAAGAAAGGTTCAATACATCTACTTCAAACAAAAGGAGATCGCATGCAAGTCTGGGTGGGTGGCCCGATGCCCCTCTACCCAGGGATCCTTTCCACCTCACCTCCGGCAGCTATGATGGCAGCCTCTAGGGCCGGCTCCCACCAAGGATGGGTCACAGGGAGAGACGCGTCACCATTCCATCCACTGGGGTTAAGGAGGCCCTTCCTCAACTTGCTTTCATCCGCAGAGAATGTGGTGAAGCCCTGGACTTTCGCCTCGGCTTGGGTCTGCTTGACCGCCGCTCGGAAATACTGGAGGCAGTCCTTGACAACTCACTGGAGGAACGCCTTGGAGTCGTGGTAGCCTGCCAATAGCTCAACTCGGAAGCACTGGACGAAGCGGACCCCAAACTCCGAGTCGAAAAATGTCTCTCGGGCCTCCTTCTGGGCCTAAAGAATGCGCTCGTCAAATGATAGTTGAAAAGCCTCCAGCTCGCCCTGGAGCTTCTCCTTCTCGGCCTTCTCCTTATCAAGGTTTTGCTTGAGTGCAGCAAGTTGAGATTTCTTTTTAGCCACCTTGTCCTTCAGTTTCTCTACCTCATCGGAGTCACCCTTCATAGCCTCGTTAAGGATGAGAGCTAGACCGGCCATGGCCTGTTGAAAGAGGTAAATATGGTCAAGCATTAACTTAGTTTTACCAAATTATAAGGCACAAAGATAAGGTATGAAGGTATACCTAACTAAGGTGGTACATGGTATCACTAGCTCGGATCTCCTTGGTTGGCCACTGGGCTATCTCACCATCGGGGAAGATGGAGAGAAAGTAGGAGCCTTACGCCTCTGTGTCTTTGTTGCCCGCAAATTGCCTCGGTATGGTAAGGGTGCGCTGATCGTCATCCCGGGAGGCGACCTTGCGTTTCTTCGAGGAGTTCTTGGCCGGCGGTTGACGGTGGCGCTGCCGGAGGTTGCCCTTGTTGGTATCCTCAATGTGGGTAGCCTGATGTGATGGTGGATTGGTGGCCACTAGGACCTCGTCGGCAGCGATAGTGGCCAGTGGGACCTCGTCAGTACCAACGGTGGTTTTTGGAACCTCGGTGGCGGCGAAGGTCTCCATGAGCTCCTCTGCAAGACAAATAAAGGATACAAATATTAGTAACTAAATTATATGCATATGATTAACATGAAAGAAATGGTAGGCGATATGACGGTAACCCGGGGCGCCGAGGCCTACTTATGTTATCCACAGGGTCGGCGGCGCAGTTGGATAGCTGAACGTTGGCGGCCAGCTTCGCCACGAGGAGGGGGCGAGCATTCCACTAGTGGATAAGAGTCTTGTATCCAGTGTTTTTCTTTGGTTTTTTGAGTGGTGTAGGTGGTTTGTCAAGCCAAACGGATGGGAGGTCCAAGGTAGTGGTAGGCGGACGTATGAAGAAAATTTGTTTTTCCATTGGTGAGTTTTCGACTTGGGTTGGTGTATGAAGTGGGTGTTGTTACGGCGCATGAGGTAAGGTGTGTTGTTCAACTTTCTGAGGCATATGCAGTACAAACACAGCTTAGGGTCGAGTTCGCCGAGGTGGGCTCAACATACCATTATGAAGCCGATGAGGAGACGAATTGAGTTGGGAGGTAATTGGTTCAAGGGCATCTTATACAATCGACTCAACTGGAGCAATTCGGAATGTATAGGAAATCTTAGCTCAGTGTTCACTTGGTCTAAAAAGAAGCTAAAATAATCGGGTGGGGGGCTATCATATGAGTCATCGGGTTTTGGAAGTTTGAGTTCCCAATTTCGGGGCAGTTCCATTTTCTTTACAAGCGCGGCTACTTGGGTATCCGAATAGAAGCATATGGGGTTTGACGGTATGGCTTGGGAGTGGGTGACTCTACGGGTGAAGAGTGTGAATGAGAAGTGGAAATAGTGTTGCTCGTAGAGGTAGAACTCGTGTTATTCGTAGGCGAGGATCATGGGTTACTAGTACTCGTTAAGGAAGAGTTTGGGTTCCTAATGGTGGTGGATCCTTCTAAAGTGTACATAGGTGGGATAACAATTGGAACACATAGGGCGAACAAGGAGTTCGACATAAAGGGAAGATAAAATGCGAGCATATGAGAATGTGAACTACATAAAAACACAAAGCAAAATGGTGAATAAACGTAACAAGATTGAGAAAAGGTATACGTACCCATGAAACTTGTCGATGCCGCCATAGTGGAAGGAGTGAGACGAGGTAGGCACGATGTATGAATTTGATTGAGGGACGGCGCGAGCTCGTCAGTGGTCGGCGGTCACGTGGTCGGTGGTCAGCGGTCGCGTGGTTGGCGGGGCGTGTGGTCATCTATGTTGGGAGCTCGTCGAGGTCTTGCTTGCCGGATGCCGAAAATAATTAAGAGCTTTTTGTGGTAGAGAGAGAAATTTTGTGTTGAGAAGAGAATGATTTGAAGGTGAAGAATGGTGAGTGAAGGAGAGGTGAGTATTTATAGAGGGAGAGAGATGAGTCTTGGCTAATCTTGGCCATTCATTTGAATTGTGATCTAAGGTGGAAAAATGAGGCTTGTTGGAGAAGCTAGGTGGGATTTCCAAGAAGACATGTGATGGAGGTAGACATGAGATGGTGGATGTAGATGTGTGATGGGGTGATGGGTAGCTAGGCACATGTGCCTAGGTACATTATTTAAAAATTAAAAAGTGCGATGGAGAGGAGTAAGTAAAAGGGGAGGACACCACCACCATGTAGGTTGGGCTCGGTTCGGCACCTCCATACGCCCATTGCGGCTCGCTAAGCCGGCGCAGGCGGCTCAGCTCTGCATCTCCACGTGCTCAGCATTTTGACCACCTCAGCGTGGTCGGCATCTCGCGTATAGCTCGGCGTCGGCACCTCATCGCCTCTGCGTGGTCGGCACTCGGGGGGTCAGCACCTTGGCGGCTCGGCGTGCTTGACATGGTCAGCATTGAGGAGTGGTTGGCATCTTGGCAGGTCGGCGCATGGACCTCAGCATCGCGTAGGTTGTCACCATGGCGTTGGCGTCGCCTCGGCAGGTCGCCACCAGGTTAGCACCGCGGGAGGTCGTCACGCGGGAGGTCAGCACGTAGGAGGTCGGCGCTGCGGGTGGTCGGCATCTTGGAAGGTCGGCGCTGCGGGTGGTCGTCACAATAGGAGGTCATCACGTGGGAGGTCGACGCTTCGGGTGGTCGGCATGGACCTCAGGGTCGCGGAGGTCGTCACCGTGGCATGGTGTAATGCCCCATTTATTTGTGGTTTATTTGAAGTATTGTTATTATTATTATTATTATTATTATTATTATTATTATTATTATTATTATTATTGATGTTTATTATTATTGTGATGTTATTAATATTAATATTGAGTGCCTAAGATTAATTGCCTAAATGTGATTAAATTATAAATTGTCTAAATGTCTAAATAATTTCGTGATTAATTATTAAATGCGTATTAATATATATGTAAAATATATTTATTATTCGGTTTATTTTAACGTGCGTTTGAGTTTATATCGAGCCCGAGAATATTCGCGCGAATCGAGTCATTATATTTTGGCAAATAAATCGAGAGTTTGAGCCCGAGAGAACTGTCTGTATTGAACCGGTGCCCCGGCCCACAATAGCCCGCGACCCGAGTTAGGCCCGGCCCGAAAGTTTTTCCTCCCTCTTTATTTTTCACGCGTGATGTGTGTGCATGTAGGATTTTCTTGTGATTAAAGAAAAGTCAAACCTAATTTTATTTGGGTATATATATATAACTTGTGTATCCATCTCCTTCTCTGAACATATTTTACGCCGCAACTCAAATCCCATGACTCTCATCTCTCTCTCGTCGCTCTCGATCGCGTATGGAAGAGAAGAAAATCCCTCGCAACTTCAATCTCTCTCTCTTTTCTCTCAATCGATCGTTGCCCCTCATCATCCTCTTCTCTCGCTCAAAATCCCGTAGCCCTCCATCGTCATCCGTCTATCTCAATCATCATAGTCTTCATCTTTGGCGCCCAGCAACCCTGCAACCATCTTCGGCGACCTCGGTTTCTTGATTTTTCGGCGAGTTTGTTTTCCCTGCGAGCAGTCCACGACGTCCGGTAACCCAACAGCACTGCCGCGCCGCGACCTCCTCGCTGCCGCGCCGTGACGCCTCCCAGCAACTCCCGTCACGCCGCGTCCAACCTGTCACGCCGCGACCAGAGCCCCGTCACGCCG